CCCTTGTCGTTTCTTCTTCATTGAGTATATCGTGAAAGACTCGGGACTTGTTGCTGAGAGCCATTTCGAGTTGGTTGAGTTTGTTACTATGTAGGAGAAAAAACCGTGTTAAACTTTTATGTTACCGTCCCTCTAGCTGTATTGTGCTTCTCGCGTATCAGTTTCATCTTAGTAAACTTGTGTTTCTATACCAACTCTAAAATCTGCTTCTTACTGATCTTCATTCACCTGTACTTTCACACACGATGAAATGGGAACAAAGTCCGCCGATTTCGCGGAAGGGCGTAACTTAGTCACAAGTTCTTAGCTATCCTTTATTCTATCTTTTTGGATAGACTATCAGCGGGCATCCCTTGGTCTAAAATTATAATCTAGTACAGCGATTTCGACGAAGACTGTCAGTGAAAGTGGTTTTGTCACAGACTAAACCCCTGTATGTCATTAGTAACAGGATCTTATATTGATTTATTTGACAGTGAAAACAGGTCCATACTCTGGAATTTTTCCTCAATATAAATATTTGAAGTCCATCTACTCACATAATTGCTACTATAATGGTGATTGATCTGATATACTGGTTATATTTGCTATAATACCTTTTTCTTTATGTACCTCTAGAGTTCAGAGCAAAGAGAAACAAAAATTTACTTAGTGCGGTAATACTATTAACTCAACCAAATAGGTCCACGCAGAGAAACCACAAGAATCAGCATTAAATATGTGTAAAAAGATTCAACACTTGACTCTGGAACATACTTTTAAAGCTTCAGGTTATCGCACTATCATGCACTAACATTTATAAAAGAATAAATAAGACTTCAGTTAATTATAGTAGATATTAATCACCTCACATTCTCACGTCACGGACATGCTGTAGTGTTAAGTGCAACACTAGTGATCTTTATACCCTATTACATTTTCTTTCTTATTTGTCACACATCACAAAGCTACTGCTAACAGGCTGTCGTAAATATGTAACGGTATAGGCCTTAAGTGCCACAAAAAATCCATAGCTGATACCTGGTAGTAACAAATGACAACGGTAAATTTCATTCTTAGATGAAAATAGGGGTAGGTAACAGTTGGTTATTTGTGTCGCGGCGTAAGTGATTATGGTATCGAGAAAAACTTAGGTAAGTTTGAACAGATTACAGAACAAATGCCCTTTTTATGTGGCTAGCTAAAAGTAAGCATCACTAAAAGGAAATTAAACAATTTGTTTGTAGAGAAACTTTCATTTTACTTCAGTTCCGTCCAGGTTAGATTATTAGGGATTGTCATTGCTCGAATATCCTAGAACTAACATTTCATCTTTATACTTAATTTTAGAGCCTTCCTAGACTGAAGTCTTGTTATTTGACGAAATGAAATCTAGAATAGAGGGAATAAGAAAACGTTTTTGCTTTGAAGATAACGTGATACGAATTACTTGAGTATTTCAGGGGTCACGTAATAACAAAGTCATAAACAATGACACATTAGTTTCTGTGAGTCTCTAAAAAAAACTAGATTTTAATGGTATTTACTATGTGAGATTTGGAATTTCTGTTAAAGTGATCTGGCTTTGGAGTAAAGATCTGTTAAAATGATTTGTGTGGATGCTTCCTTTCACTAGGAAGTTGATGTCTAGTAATGATCGTTATTTTACAGGGGTCCCTCGGTCATTATATAATCAAGGACTTTATTCTATTAAGTATGAACATAAGATGGTTAACAAGCCCTTTACCTGAAATCGGTATGCGACTCATTGCAAATACTATAGGGAACATTTTTTGAGATGATCTTGTTCTTCTACGTATGTCTACAAATGAGATCTACCAGTGACTATCGTACTATCGCATAAGCCCTTGCTTTCATCACACTTTAATAACTGCGGTGAGTCAATAAACGAGTGAAGTGCAGTTAAAGGTTAACTAGAACGAACAGAAATTAATTATCTGAAGAAAACATAGCGTCTCAGTAGGCTGCATTTTGGCAAGAAACGCTTATCTGCGGAGCGAATTCAACTAGTGATGCTCATCTTAACTAACCAAATTAACACATTTTTTGGATGGTTGAAGTGTGTCAACTCAACCAGAAAACCACCCTGACCCATACCAGGAATGAGAGATAAATATACTATTCATATTTCACAGCTATGACCAGTAAAATGACTGTTTGAAGTTTGGATGATTAAAATAAAACGAAGACTTTGATTGCATGAAAGTTATATTCGACTGAAAAACAGGAACCTTTTAGTTTTTAAATATTTATCAACTAAATTTAATGTTGCTTATTCAAAGTGCCAATTTCTTTTTCTATACTCCTTAACCGGAAGTCGTTTGGCGCAGTCGTTGTTAATGACGCTTTCGTGTCTTTCAAGTATAATTATGGTGTAGATCTTATTCGGAAGATATTTTGACTTTGGTATGTTAATAAAGTATTTGATGCTTTGTCTCGAAGCTTTTTCTGCTCAAACATGCAAAAACCGTGTTAGTAGATTTGTTAACTAGTGTTTCGCTCACTTTCTTCTTCAGGTTTTTTATTATTGTCTGGATAAAGTGCATTCACATGCTCTAAACACTTATTCTGATATCACTAAATTATCTCCATTAAATGTTGATATGACCGTCATAAACAATCCAGATCCTGATAGAAGTGGCGTTATACAGGATACATGGTGTGCGAAACAGTCCAGTGACTTAGTTTCAACTCCAAATGATTTAGTTTCCTTGGCGTGGCTTCAGAATAAAGATATTTTGCAGATAGCTCCGTTAGATGGAGAAGAAGATGGGAATGATTCTGTCAGTTCAGCTATCCCAGGACAGCCAGAGGATGAAGATAGTTTGATCCTAATCCCGTTTTACGTATGGGTTCGTTCGGCCCTAATGTTAACCATCCACCTCCACTAGTATCCGGATCACAGTTTCTCAATTGTAGACAAAAGTGTTCGGCGCCCTGCTTCGGTTCTGGAGATCGGTTCCCTTACTGCGAACAACCTCGGTTTTCAACAAATCCTGCCGTTGGTATTGGTAATCACGGTCTTACAAAGCCAAATTACAGTTATACACATCTTATATTTATGGCGATCGAGTCTACTCCACAAAAATGCATGACTGTTAATCAGATTTATAACTGGTGTGAATCAAATTTTCCATTTTATAAACATGCTGGCGTTGGTTGGAAAAATTCTCTCAGACATAATCTCTCTATTAATAAGTCTTTCAAGCGCCTACCTCGTGATAGTCGTGTAAGTTTTAAGTTCTTTTTGCCTGGTTTCAGCATGTGATTACAAGATTTACTGATTAGCTTGTTTTCTTCCCTTACACAGAATGAACCTAAAATATTTAGGTTCATTCTGTGTAAGGGAAGAAAACAAGCTAATCAGTAAATCTTGTAATCACATGCTGAAACCAGGCAAAAAAGAACTTAAACTTACACGACTATCACGAGGTAGGCGCTTGAAAGACTTATTAATAGAGAGATTATGTCTGAGAGAATTTTTCCAACCAACGCCAGCATGTTTATAAAATGGAAAATTTGATTCACACCAGTTATAAATCTGATTAACAGTCATGCATTTTTGTGGAGTAGACTCGATCGCCATAAATATAAGATGTGTATAACTGTAATTTGGCTTTGTAAGACCGTGATTACCAATACCAACGGCAGGATTTGTTGAAAACCGAGGTTGTTCGCAGTAAGGGAACCGATCTCCAGAAACAGAAGCAGGGCGCCGAACACTTTTGTCTACAATTGAGAACTGTGATCCGGATACTAGTGGAGGTGGATGGTTAACATTAGGGCCGAACGAACCCATACGTAAAACGGGATTAGGATCAAAACTATCTTCATCCTCTGGCTGTCCTGGGATAGCTGAACTGACAGAATCATTCCCATCTTCTTCTCCATCTAACGGAGCTATCTGCAAAATATCTTTATTCTGAAGCCACGCCAAGGAAACTAAATCATTTGGAGTTGAAACTAAGTCACTGGACTGTTTCGCACACCATGTATCCTGTATAACGCCACTTCTATCAGGATCTGGATTGTTTATGACGGTCATATCAACATTTAATGGAGATAATTTAGTGATATCAGAATAAGTGTTTAGAGCATGTGAATGCACTTTATCCATACAATAATAAAAACCTGAAAAAGAAAGTGAGCGAAACACTAGTTAACAAATCTACTAACACGGTTTTTGCATGTTTGAGCAGAAAAAGCTTCGAGACAAAGCATCAAATACTTTATTAACATACCAAAGTCAAAATATCTTCCGAATAAGATCTACACCATAATTATACTTGAAAGACACGAAAGCGTCATTAACAACGACTGCGCCAAACGACTTCCGGTTAAGGAGTATAGAAAAAGAAATTGGCACTTTGAATAAGCAACATTAAATTTAGTTGATAAATATTTACAAACTAAAAGGTTCCTGTTTTTCAGTCGAATATAACTTTCATGCAATCAAAGTCTTCGTTTTATTTTATCATCCAAACTTCAAACAGTCATTTTACTGGTCAAGCTGTGAAATATGAATAGTATATTTATCTCTCATTCCTGGTATGGGTCAGGGTGGTTTTCTGGGTTGAGTTGACACACTTTCAACCATCCAAAAAATGTGTTAATTTGGTTAGTTAAGATGAGCATCACTAGTTGAATTCGCTCCGCAGATAAGCGTTCTGGCCAAAATGCAGCCTACTGAGACGCTATGTTTTCTTCAGATAATTAATTCTGTTCGTTCTAGTTAACCTTTAACTGCACTTCACTCGTTTATTGACCACCGCAGTTATTAAACTGTGATAAAAGCAAGGGCTGATCCCATAGTACCATAATCACTGGTACATCTCATTTGTAGACATACGTAAGAAGAACAAGATCATCTCAAAAAATGTTCCCTATAGTATTTGCAATGAGTCGCATACCGATTTCAGGTAAAGGGCTTGTTAACCATCTTATGTTCATACTTAATAGAATAAAGTCCTTGATTATATAATGACCGAGGGACCCCTGTAAAATAACGATCATTACTAGCCATCAACTTCCTGTGAAAGGAAGCATCCACACAAATCATTTTAACAGATCTTTACTCCAAAGCCAGATCACTTTAACAGAAATTCCAAATCTCAACATAGTAAATACCATTAAAATCTAGTGGTATTTAGAGACTCACAGAAAACTAATGTGTCATTGTTTATGACTTTGTTATTACGTGAACCCTGAAATACTCAAGTAATTCGTATCACGTTATCTTCAAAGCAAAAACGTTTTCTTATTCCCTCTAGTCTAGATTTCATTTCGTCAAATAACAAGACTTCAGTCTAGGAAGGCTCTAAAATTAAGTATATAGATGAAATGTTAGTTCTAGGATATTCGAGCAATGACAATCCCTAATACTCTAACCTGGACGGAACTGAAGTAAAATGAAAGTTTCTCTACAAACAAATTGTTTAATTTCCTTTTAGTGATGCATACTTTTAGCTAGCCACATAAAAAGGAGCATTTGTTCTGTAATCTGTTCAAACTTACCTAAGTTTTTCTCGATACCATAATCACTTACGCCGCGACACAAATAACCAACTGTTACCTACCCCTATTTTCATCTAAGAATGAAATTTACCGTTGTCATTTTTTACTACCAGGTATCAGCTATGACACTGCTGTGGCACTTAAGGCCTATACCGTTACATATTTACGACAGCCTGTTAGCAGTAGCTTTGTGATGAGTGACAAATAAGAAAGAAAATGTAATAGGGTATAAAGATCACTAGTGTTGCACTTAACACTACAGCATGTCCGTGACGTGAGAATGTGAGGTGATTAATATCTACTATAATTAACTGAAGTCTTATTTATTCTTTTATAAAAGTTAGTGCATGATAGTGCGATAACCTGAAGCTTTAAAAGTATGTTCCAGAGTCAAGTGTTGAATCTTTTTACACATATTTAATGCTGATTCTTGTGGTTTCTCTGCGTGGACCTATTTGGTTGAGTTAATAGTATTACCGCACTAAGTAAATTTTTGTTTCTCTTTGCTCTGAACTCTAGAGGTACATAAAGAAAAAGGTATTATAGCAAATATAACCAGTATATCAGATCAATCACCATTATAGTAGCAATTATGTGAGTAGATGGACTTCAAATATTTATATTGAGGAAAAATTCCAGAGTATGGACCTGTTTTCACTGTCAAATAAATCAATATAAGATCCTGTTACTAATGACATACAGGGGTTTAGTCTGTGACAAAACCACTTTCACTGACAGTCTTCGTCGAAATCGCTGTACTAGATTATAATTTTAGACCAAGGGATGCCCGCTGATAGTCTATCCAAAAAGATAGAATAAAGGATAGCTAAGAACTTGTGACTAAGTTACGCCCTTCCGCGAAATCGGCGGACTTTGTTCCCATTTCATCGTGTGTGAAAGTACAGGTGAATGAAGATCAGTAAGAAGCAGATTTTAGAGTTGGTATAGAAACACAAGTTTACTAAGATGAAACTGATACGCGAGAAGCACAATACAGCTAGAGGGACGGTAACATAAAAGTTTAACACGGTTTTTCTCCTACATAGTAACAAACTCAACCAACTCGAAATGGCTCTCAGCAACAAGTCCCGAGTCTTTCACGATATACTCAATGAAGAAGAAACGACAAGGGTGTAGAATTCTTTTTGAATGTTTTGTTTTTTGGAAAATCCCTCCATGTTTACATATTTTTGCTATGATATGACGGACTTTTTCTTTTGACATTTTTGGTATTTCATTTGATTCCAATTTGAGATTTTATCATTGTATATTGTTATTCTTTCTATATTTGTACTTATATTGAAGTTTTTGGGTTTGCTTCTGAATTGTACATATATTGTTTAAATTTGATATAATATGGCTACCGCCACATTTTTTGGATGGACGCGGTGGCTGCTGGACTTAGTGTCACTTATCGGCTATTGTGTTGGATACTCTGCGGAGTAATTTAACCCTGGAAGA